GGTGGTAGCAGAAGTAGAAGTAGAAGAAGAAGTAGTAGTAGAAGCAACAGCAATACACAGTAGTAGGTAGCAGTAGTAACAGTAGTAGTAGCAGCGGCAGCAGTAGTAGTAGTAATGGTGTGGTGGTAAAAGAAGTTGTAGCAGTAAAGTTAACGATGACGCACGTGATACATTTTTGCTACCAGGCCAAGCCTCTGCACCAGCTTACCCCACGACAAATACCCATGCTTCGTCTACCAGTCTAACAACAGCAATATCTTGTTGTCTGACATTGGTTACCAAAGCAACGCCGCATCCACCAGAAATGGTTACCAGAGCAACACCAACAACGTCATGAAGTGTTGAATAAGGAACATTGACAAAACCATCACAGCTATGAATGTCAGAGGAGTACTTATCTGCGTACCCGTGAAGATCAGGGATAGAATAGGTCTTCAGAAACCCATGCTTGCCGTATGGTGCGACTAACGGGATCGGGTGGTCAGGCTCGCTGACCTGGTTGATGGATGTCATCGTATCCAAATTGCCATGGATCGATGTTCATGATGTCAATCACTAGATTGTCTGGTCTAGACTCGATTATTTACAGACCGCCGTCATATAGCTGGAATATTGCTGAGCGGCGTTAAACAGAAAACAAACAAACAGATACACTTATCTATGAATGATTAACCAATACCTTTATATAATGAGTGTTTATTGAATAACATCTCTCTTTTAATGTAATGTTATTGCGTTTGTTTATTTCACACTATAGCTACTAGTGAGTGAGTGAGTGAGTCAGATTTTACGCCGCTTTTAGAAATATTGCAGCAATATCACGGCGGGGGACACCAGAAATGGGCTTCTCACATTGACCCATGTCGGGAATCGAACCCAGGTCATCGGCGTGACGAACGATCTCTTTAACCGCTTGGCTACCCGACCGCCCCCCATAGCTACTATATTAACAGTGTCGTTTTAACTGTATTGTTGTAAGGTGAGTGCACAACACTCTGTTTTACATTGTGAGTGAGTGAGTGAGTTGGGTTTAACGCCGCTTTTAACACTATTGCAGTTATATCGCGGCGTGTCAGCTTAATGTGGGAGGAAAGCCGAAGTGATGCAGGTCTAAGAGGTTTATCACTTCGGTGAAACCCACGAGCACGGGTATGGTGCTGACAAACCTAGAAACATAATTTGGGCGAACCGGGATTCGAACCCACAATCATAGGTTTCTGGCGTGCCCAAGGGACGCAACTCTGCACAGCGAATCGCGGCGCATAAGACGACTGGGCCACCCGTGCCCCCGTTTTACATTGTTGTCCCAATAGTGACAGTTGAGCCCTATTGCTGCACGCTCGACACAATAGAAGCGCCGTTGAAATTGCAGTTTATCTCCTAGTAACTCCCAAAGCAAGGATAACATTCACGTTAACGTGTTAAGCGATGAGCCATAAGAGCAACTCTCTTCATCTGTATGGCGTTTGGGGTTTCAATAAAGAGAAAGTTAATGCAACTCTGTAAATATTTCACTTTCAACCAATAGTTGATAACAGGAGCATTTATTCTTGCCTTGTCGGAACGATGGCACACAATCAGCCAAGTACATGTTCTGTCCTTGAATTTCCCCAAAATGTTTCAATGCAGAAACTATTAGAGATTACAAGACCCGGGGAATTGGGATAGAATAGGTCTTCAGCAACCCATGCTTGTCGTAAAGAGTAGTAAGAGGCGACTAATTGGATCGGGTGGTCAGGCTCGCTGACTTGAATGATGCATGTCATCGTATCCCAATTGCGTGGATCGATGCTCATGATGTCAATCACTGGATTGTCTGGTCCAGACTCGATTATTTAAAGACCGCCGTCAAATAGGTGCGGCGTTAAAAACAAATAAACAAACAAACAAATAAATAGAGATTACAAATTGAGCATTTTCTAATTTTGGAACGTCCCATTGGAACCTTTAATGATAAGTGGTGGCCATGGAGGATACAGTCAAGCCAACGGAATCAGGTGCATGGTCGTACTCACGGTAAATGCAGCATTGATGTAGATATAGTAACGCAGTTGTACGCGTACAAGACGATTTTTGCATTGTCTGCGTTCCTAAAAATATTAGTATAGCTACCGATAATGTAGAAGTATTACTTCTAATTTCTGGAAGTGGTTGTACATTATATTAAAGGCTGGTTTTTTTCTCAAATCGTGACAAACATATCAGCAAACTATATCTATGGTAAATGTTATTTCTTACACTCATGTGACGTCACTCATAATCGATGTGTTATATATATTTGCGCCAGAGTGATCGTGAAAATTGACAAAAAACGAACAGATTCGATGCTTTTATTCTCTGGTGCCACTTAAGGGTGTGTAAGAAACATATGACTGAACTCATGCCTGTCGCTTTCCCCCGTTAGATAGGTTTTGAAGCCACTTGGGTAAGATAAATGGTATCTGACAGACACTCGTGTAGTTATCTCTATATTCTATTCGGGTCTTGCATTGCCAAGCAACACAGCAGTGATTGGATTGAAGGTAATCTTGAACAAATGCGTATGCTTATATAATGTTAGTTTTCCTTCCAAGCGGAAGTTGTATACGATATCTGTGATCTTTTCCAACATGCAATTGTTATCCGTATCCTGTTATTCAAATTAGCGCTGTCTATATATATATATTGGATCATTGGTTATTTCTCATAGACCCGTCTGTCTATATATATATATTGGATCATTGGTTATTTCTCATAGACCCGTCTGTCTATATATATATATATTGGATCATTGGTTATTTCTCATAGACCCGTCTGTCTATATATATATATATATTGGATCATTGGTTATTTCTCATAGACCCGTCTGTCTATATATATATATTGGATCATTGGTTATTTCTCATAGACCCGTCTGTCTATATATATATATTGGATCATTGGTTATTTCTCATAGACCCGTCTGTCTATATATATATATTGGATCATTGGTTATTTCTCATAGACCCGTCTGTCTATATATATATATTGGATCATTGGTTATTTCTCATAGACCCGTCTGTCTATATATATATATATTGGATCATTGGTTATTTCTCATAGACCCGTCTGTCTATATATATATATATTGGATCATTGGTTATTTCTCATAGACCCGTCTGTCTATATATATATATTGGATCATTGGTTATTTCTCATAGACCCGTCTGTCTATATATATATATTGGATCATTGGTTATTTCTCATAGACCCGTCTGTCTATATATATATATTGGATCATTGGTTATTTCTCATAGACCCGTCTGTCTATATATATATATTGGATTATTGGTTATTTCTCATAGACCCGTCTGTCTATATATATATATTGGATCATTGGTTATTTCTCATAGACCCGTCTGTCTATATATAAATATTGGATCATTGGTTATTTCTCATAGACCCGTCTGTTTATATATATATATATTGGATCATTGGTTATTTCTCATAGACCCGTCTGTCTATATAAATATATTGGATCATTGGTTATTTCTCATAGACCCGTCTGTCTATATATATATATTGGATCATTGGTTATTTCTCATAGACCCGTCTCCCAATTGCGTGGACCGATGCTCATGATGACAATCACTGGATAGTCTGGTCAAGACTCGATTATTTACAGACCGCCGTCACAGAGCTTGAATATTGCGCGTTAAATAACCAACCAACCAACCATCCAACCTCATACCTCATACTTTTTTTACCGATGTACTGATGAATGTTGATATATATAATTATTATACATTTTCACCGAACAACCATGCCGCGATTAGCCTTTCTTTAACTTTCGATATCATCCCATATTTAGTTGAACTCAAATGGTAATTATAGTAATTATATCATCCATCTAAGGACCAGGGACCGGGCAACCTATTGAAACTGAAGCCAATAAGTAATTTTGAAAAAAAGTGTCTATAATTTACGTTTGCTGTATACGGCATGTATTTATATGGCCATAGCAATCATTGTACTATCGCAAACATACTAAAATTATCTCAGAAGACAGTTTAATGTAATACTAATACCCATGGTTGACAATCGAACTGATGACACACGCTAAACATATGATGCAAACATGTTATGCATAACATTTTCTGTTTTGTGCTTCCGCTAATTAAAATGAAGCCGTGAAAATCACACATTGATAGATTGAGGTGACCGATCGCGTTGGTCACAGAAACATACCCGTTGATGACACAATGTTGTTTGGACAATAAAGTAACATACCAGTTGTCGTGAAACGTTCCTGTATTATAACGTAAAGGAATCTGTACGAGAAAGAATTTCAAATGAACTGTGAATATTTACATACATACTTCCATAGCAAGATTGATCTCAAAGCCTAATATGACAGCGACAATGACAATGACAATCTTGGTTTGTCCTTTAGACCAACAGACCCATATAACACATTTACTTACTTACATATTCCTGCAGCTTCAGCCCTTAGTGTCTACTTTTCACAACTTTTGAGGTACAATCGAGTATGCTTTCTCTATCAAGATTTAAAAGAGCGTCATACACCACTTGATCAGAAGTTGTTTGATCAAGGTTAGAACATTTAAAGGCCTCAGTGAAGCTTTCAAAACGTTTTATTGTAGAGGGCATTTCCAAATTTGACGCTTCAGTGACAAAACTTCTGCAATTCCCAATTGACTTGTACCATATGTTCCCGTGTTTTTTTTCAGGTGAACAGTTGACTTGCCTTTGCATGTGTTTGTGACAGGTGCCACCGGTGGGTCAGGATACGCTCACCTTTTTCGCGAACACCTGATATTATCACTATTTGATAGTGATTCACAAGCACGTGCTCATTATATTGTCGGAATCGTACAATCGACTCAGTTTTGGGCAAAGATTCCTTATGAATTCTGAAAGGGCTTTGTCGCTTTTATTAACTAAGAACCACTTAAACAAACTGTATAATCAGTTCAGTGGCATTACATCTAAATGTAGACATACAAAACATCAATACCATATAATTCGAAAGATTTTATTCAATGACTATATATGAAATATGCAGCTGATTAATAAATAATGATGTAAGTAATGACTGCATCGAGGATGTTCATCCGGAAAATGCTTAAATAACCAACCCCTTGTATTCCCTTCATAAATATAAATGACACAGTTAAGACAATGTTCCTCAGTTCATCGCTTCACTAAGAGTCATCATCATGAAGGGGTTCATCCTCTGGCCTCTCTGGTTGCCGCGGTTCATGAAGGCCATCATGGGTAGCATGTTCTCATACCCTTGGTTCATCATGTAGAAGGGGAGCATGCTGTTGCCCTGTTTGGAGTTCATCATCATTCCGAGAGTTGCCATGTGATTTCCTTGATCCATACCCATCATCATTGGAAGCAGGAAAGAGTTGATGTTGTTGTTGCTCTGGTAACCATTTTGAGTTGACGCGGCGTTGCTATGGTAACCACTGTAAGACGACATGATGTTGCCGTTGTTCCCTCGGTAGGCGTAGTTGTTTGACATTGGGTAAGAGTAGGTATTCGCCGTGGGGTAGGCTTGGATGTTCAAGGTAGGATGACTTGATGGAGGGGCTTGAGCTGGTAGCAAAAATGTTTCATGTGAATTAAGGTTTACTACTACTACTACTACTACTACTACTACTACTACTACTACTACTACTACTACTACTACTACTGCTGCTGCTGCTGCTACTACTACTACTTCTTCTTCTACTACTACTACCGACCATAATCATAAGAGATCGTTTTAACCATTTGTTCGTTTTTGGTAATTTTCATTTTATCAAGCCTATCGACCATGTGATTTCGACATTAAATACACGCAATTATAGCATTTTCTATGCGTCTTACATACTAATAGACATGATTCGCAGAGTACAATATATATCTCACGTCTTAAAGAAGTGTTGTGGGGTGAGAGGTATAGGTACGTATACATATTTGAGGAGCGGTAGAACATTATCTTTATAAGAAATCCATGATATGTTTACTTACCGTAAACTGCAACGCCAAACAGAGCTATACAGATGCAAAATACTTTCATGTCTGTATGTTATTTTCTGTAAAGAGAAATTGTGAATATTCATCATATATTCAATACAATATTAGCGGACTGGGTTTAGTTTTACACCGATTTGAACAGTATTTCCGTTACATCACGTCGTGGCAGCGTCATGTTGGAAGTAAGCCCGAACAGATGCAGACCTTTGGCATTTACCACTTTGGTGAAATCCAAAAGATTAGTACGCAGTTGACAAGCTGAAGCTGGGATTTGAACTCAGGATCATAGGTTTCTGGCACGCCCCAGGAACAATATTATATATTTGAAACTAGTTTGTAAGTGAGTGAGTGAGTATGGTTTTACGCCGCTTTTAGCAATATTCCAGCAATATCACGGCGGGGGACACCAGAAATGGCCTTCACCCATTGTACCCATGTCGGAAATCGAACCCGGGTCTTCGGCGTGACGACCGAACGCTTTAACCACTAGGCCACCCGACCGCCCTGAAGTCGCTGAAACCGTGTAACACCAGAATCCGCCGCATAAACTTTGAATATTGTTACCGCACCCCCACCGCCCCGTTTGTGAGTAGAGTGTATATGTTATATAAGGTGATGGTGAAAAAAGCATCAGTATATTACCAACTATAAAATAAAACATTTTCCTGAAGAAAATCCTCAAATAATTTAACATCAGTATAACAATGCATGCTAAAAACCAGAACATTGCAAAAAGCAATTGATCCAGTTGCATTGAAAATACCATTGATAGGAAGACCTCAACTCACCTGGGCCTACGTCAGTTAACAAGCAAGAGGAGATGTGTCTGGTGAGCGACAACAGAGACGGTTCCCAATATATACTGTACACTGGATGTGAATGGCATTAAGACACGTCAAACGAGTTGATACATCTTCATCAAACATGTCACAATTACATAACACATGAACTAATCGTGGTACATATTACACTATGTCCTGCACCGCGACTGTCCCTGCAGGCGTATGGACACAGTGGGGTAAGCTGTAACAATAACGAGGGATGTACACATGCATCTTGCGTGTCACCAGGGAGTATGTTCATGACATAAGTGTACATTTAGAGCATCATTTAGAGATTAGGTCATGGCTAATGACCACAGGAAGATACAAGCACCTGTCCGGAATACAATATACCTTTGCCATTGAGGGCTGTAACTTAAATTAGTTTGACATCTTTGCTTTAGATATGATTCGTGTGATCTTAACTATGAATTACTGATCTCACTTGCATTGTCTGGCTTATTTCTTTATTTAATTCCCATTTTGTTTAAAGTTTTAATATACGATTATGATCTATTATGAAATCACCATAGTATATTAAGAGTGATGTTTGAACACATATAATTGTTTTCAAGTAAGAAATGATTGTCGTATTGTGTTGGTTTACTGGAGTATGAACGCTTTGAACAGTGTAAACGGCGCAGCTTGCGACAGTATTGGCGAGATTTACGAAGTTCCAAATTTTCAAGGTCATTTTAAATAATTTTGGTTTGCCTAAAATGACAGTGGATGATATCACTGAACAGTGAATTTCCCACAGAATTGAAATCTTGTGTGCCTTATGTATATTTATTAATTTAATTATTTTCTACTTCAACGTGACCGCCGTCATATAGCTGGAATATTGCTGAGTGCGGCGTTAACAACAAACAAACAAAACTTCAACTTGAGAGTTGAAGAAGAGGGACACATATGTCCCTCTGGCATCCATTGCTTAATGCGAATATGTAATTAAGTGTTTTAATGAAACGTTGTTAAAATAGGATTATTATTATTGTTATTATATTGTTATTATATTGTCCAATATTGCCGATCTTCAAGATCGTGGTAAGCAGTGGATCAAAGAGAAATCTTCAACTCGGGGATTCATCGTGAAAAGTAGTTCCGGTCAAAAATCGTATAAACGTCAAAAGGTGAAGATATACTTTGTAAACGTCACTTTTTGAATTTGATGAAGCAGCAAATAAACCAGTCACATCCCGGAAATCCTCACACAAGTTTTGTTTCTGCTTTCTGCCCTTATTTCAATATCATTTCAATACAAATATATGGTACCGTAGATGTACGTCTCTATGTATATGTATTATGTTGATGGAGAAGGACAATTGCAAAAAGGACAATTGTCCCCTAGGACAATTACCACCTATTTCATTTATACATTGTTGTTCAACGCCACACTCATCAGCATTGCAGCTGTAAATATAAAACGTCCACGCCAGAGAATAACCAGTCTCGATTATCCGCCGAAACAGATTTCATTTGACTTGAATTTATCAATGAAAATCAGGTGTCCGCGAAAGAGGGACGCATGTTATTATCCTGCCCTACCGATAGCCCAGCTATTAACACAACTTGTATATAAAAGGAAGTATTTTGTTGCTACCTGTAAGTGGTCGAATCAAGACCAGGGAACCCAGTGATTAATATTTATGTGTAACGATCCACACCTTACGGGTTCGGTAAAACACAAAAATCGAAGTCACCGAGTCCCACCACCTGATCCGTTTAGTCCTCTTTTACGACCACCACAGGTTCACGTGACCTTAACTAACCCACGGGTATTGTATGCAGTGGATGAACGCCCAAGTAATGGTCGCAAGGCTGGAATCTGACATTACCCAAATTTATATCATAGTTTCTTATACCTTACACCAAGGAAGCACCGCGGTTACAGATATTGTCTGATGTAGGTTTCGTTATTCCAATAGTAAACAGGTTAAGATGAAACCGTTTGGACGAAAGAATGTAAAACTTTCCACAATACAATTGATGCACAAAGTAGGAATATGTGTGACTCAATGTCAGCGGGCTGACAATACCCATGTGAATAAAGCTGCAAAACCCTTTCCATATCCAATAGAAATCTCTGCATAAAGCAGAGTCTATAGTACGATTCCGACTATATCATGAGCATGTGTTTATGAATCACTACCAAATAGTAATGATACCAGGTGTTCGCAAAAAGGTGAGCACCCGTCACAAACACATGCAAAGGCAAGTCACTTGTTCATCTGTAAAAGAAACACGGGAACATATGGTACAAGTCAAAATAGGGAATTGCATCGGGCATCATTTGTGTCACTGATGCGTCAAATTTGGAAATGTCAACCATAATTTTTTGGGAAAGCTTTACTGAGGCCTTGTATGTTGTAACCTTGATCAAACAACTCCTGAGCATGAGGTGTATGACGCTCTTTGAAATCTGGGTAGAAAGAGCATGCTTGATTATACCTCAAAAGTTGTGAAATGTAGACACCAAGGGCTGGCATGGGCGGATACAGATTTTTGGAAAAGGGGGGTGCACAATTAAGATCTATTTATTGTCTTTGGTGGTAATTTATACAGAAATAAAGATATTTTTTTTAATAGAAAAAGTACAGATAATCGACGTGAGGATTGTGAGAATATGCGGGAAATACCAAACCTAACCCACCTGTTCGTAAAATGGAATCGTCCGACATTGCCGAGGTCGTATTCTATTCAGGGAGTCATCATTATTATAATTTGGGTAAAAATGTTTAAAGCTTGGTCATTTGATCAACCTCCTTAAAGAGGCTGTACATATTGATATCTCATATAAAAAATAAACGAATTCGAATTTGTTGTAGTTTTCGTTTTGCATTTTCTGAAACTAAATTCACATGAAAATGTGCTCTTCGCAGCTTTCATATTGACTTACACAAGTTTGTTTTGGATTACTATTATCGTAATATATATAACCTATCGTGGTTGGTGACCACATATCAGTCTCATTGTGTGGTGTATGTATTTATGCCATATGTGTGTCATGCCAGTATCAGATTAATTGAAACGCTTGAAAGGATACTAAACGGCGGTGTAGTTTTTTCATGGCTATATATGGTGCTGACCCATAATTCATATAGCTATATGTATAACACGAATCTAGTGTATGTGGATGGTATGGACTAGTAATTCACGCTAAAACTATATGTATTCGTATAGCTGTATGTACAACACACGAATCTAGTGTATGTGGATGGTATAGACTAGTAATTCCCGCTAAAACTATATGTATTTGTATAGCTGTATGTACAACACACAAATATAGTGTATGTGGATGGTATAGACTAGTAATTCCCGCTAAAGCTATATGTATTTGTTTAGCTGTATGTACAACACACGAATCTAGTGTATGTGGATGGTATAGACTAGTAATTCCCGCTAAAGCTATATGTATTCGTATAGCTGTATGTACAACACACGAATCTAGTGTATGTGGATGGTATAGACTAGTAATTCCCGCTAAAGCTATATGTATTCGTATAGCTGTATGTATAACACACGACTAAAGTGTATGTGGATGATGTTGGCTAGTAATTCCCGCTAAAGCTATATGTATTTGTATAGCTGTATGTATAACACACAAATATAGTGTTTGTGGATGATATTGGCTAGTAATTCCCGCTAAAGACATTTGTTTTTGTGTAGCTATGTGTATGTAGATCCTAGTTGGACTTAGTAAAACCCTCCTTACTGACTCACTAACTCACTGAAAGAAGTTGAGAAAAATATGCGATATTTAATTGTTAGATTTTATTTCACGGTTCACTCAGAATATTCATTCCATTTGCAATACCAACTGCTTGAAATATAAGTACCTTCTGTGAGAAGAACAGTTAAGTGACAATCACATCACGTGAAGGGGTTAATACTAGTAACTAAACGATGAACTAATGAACTAATATTGATTCAGTTGTACATTTGAAAAGCCTTGTCGATGATTGAAGTTGCTGATGATGTTTGTAAAAAATCATAAAATATCAGTGTATTTCAAGGTTTTACGTGAAGGCGACCATTGTCAAGTGTCATTGGCCAACGAGTAAAACTGCTTTCTATAAAAGAGAATGGTACAAAGAGATATTGTAACATGTCAATGCATCTTTATTGCTTAGTCCTCAGAAACACTAAACTGTCAGGGGTCGGTAATAGCTGGGCAGTTAGTTCGTACATCTATAAATAGGTGACATGAAATGGATAAATTAAGACAATCAGAGGGTTGTGGTTACATCATCTCGCTTCCAAGAAACATCATCGTCATAGGGTCGAAGCCTCGTCCGCCTCTCTGGTTGCGATTGCTCATGAGAGCCATCATGGGCCACATGTTGTCGACGCCGTTCATCATGGCGAAAGGGAGCATCATATTGTTGGACTGCCTTGGGTTCATCATCATGCTGTACATGGCCATCCTGCGCCCGTTGTCACCCCCCATCATGAAAGGGAGATAGTTCATGGGGGACTGGGCAGCGTTGTTGGCGTGGTGATTGTTGGTGGCAGCCGTCGGGTGGTTGTTATTGAAGACATTACTGGCATGGGACAAGAGAGCGCCTGGCATCGGGCTCGGATGCTGTGCAGGTGCGAGGGGTATGCCGTTGACGTTGTTGCCGAGGGGAACGCTAGATGCCGTCATTCCGGGGGCAACACTGTTCTGAGCTGAAAAAGAACATATTTCCAGTCATTCTTCAAAGGAAAACATTGTATTCTATGAAATATGTTTGGAATATCTTTAGACATGCATCGGGCTCGGATGCTGTGCAGGTGAGAAAGGAACACCGTTTCCGAGGGGCACGTTGGACGCTGTATTCCCGGGGACGACACTATTCTGAGCTGAAGCAGTTGTTTTGAAAAAAGAACTGTTATTCTCATATCTAAATAGAACGTAATCAAGGGAAATATTGCGGAAATATGGCCCGAAAACAGCATTAGGAAATACAGGAATTCGTCGTACTAACTCGGCCACATTTTATGCAATGTGCAGTCGTTTGTTTTCAGGGGACACGAAAGCATTACGAACATTTATTTTTGAAGCTGCCATCACCTACCATGAATAGTGACTGCCACGAAGGCGAAAAGAGCACAAATTGCTGTCTTCATGATTCGTCTTTCCTGCAAGAGATAAACAACAACATTAATAAAAGAAAATACACGAATGAAGCCCATTTCTGAAGTCCCCCACCGTGTTATTGCTGGAATATTGCTAAATGCTGGACTTCCTCATAGATAACATCTTTGGGAATTTGGGATGGGACATTCAGACGATGCAGGCATCACCATGGGCACCGACTGTGCTCCTCTCCTTACTGATCTGTTTCTTTGTGTATACGAATGAGAACGTCTTCGCGGTTAGACAAAATTAAAACAAGGGAATTTGGTCATGGTGAGTTGAGGAGAACTGGGGTTTAACGTCGTTATTGCACTAAAATAGCGACGTGCATGCACGTGGGTGTGGGTGTGTGGCTGCTTGTACTAGTCCGGACTGATGCCCATTAAAAGTGCTAGTCCACTGAGATATCATGCCGCAGTTTAACACAGTATACTGACTCCGAGCCGACCAGTCCTTGTTTTAGCCCCTTAATGCCGAGCGCCAGATAGGGTAACAACAAATACCATCTTTTAACGTCTTTTGGTACGACGCGGCAGGGGATCGATCCCGGACCTGCCGCTCTCCGGGCGGACGCTCTACCACTAGACCACGGAGGCGGTCGAGTTTGGTCAAGACGTTTAACTTAAGCCTTAGTTATATCGATAATCTGACATCTCTCAATAACGTAAAAAAGCTTATTCCCTTCCACTGATTTACCAACCTGACATATAAGAATCAATCTCACCTATTTGATATGTAGATCTATGCATAAAGAATCACGAAACATTTGAGCACATTACCAAATTTGACGCATCGGAGACTAAAATGATGCCCAATGTACATCCCCATTTTGATTTGTACTATTTGTTCCCGGTATGCTTTAGATGAACAATTCACTTGCCTTTGTATGTGTTTGTGATGGGTGTGGGAGAGGATGCGCTAACCTTTGTACGACCTCCTGGTATTAAACACGGTGTTAACGGGGCAATACACACCACACACTCTCAACGTATACTTAGCCTATACATATCCGAAGCTATATATGATACAAATAGTTGACGTTTCCTTACCTTGTGCTGCTTCTGAACCAGAGCTGAAGCCAGGGATGATGTGTTGAATGTCAAGCACTGAGCCTTTTATATCCCCTGGTGTGGCGGTGGGTCGTGGTCTCCCGTCAGCAATACATTACCCGTCTACATAATGTGCATGATGTAAGTTGTCAAGTGACCATGTCTGCATGACTTGGTTATCACATAATTCTTGTTGTATGTCGGTATAAACATGTCGCAACGATCATCTTAAACTTACACGAAGTTCGTATTGAATAACAGTCTTCTCTTGATTAACACGAGGCCAGTTGACATCAAAGTATTCCTGTAGTTGTGGATAGGCTAATGAATTGAAGTGCCATTGTGCCATGTACTCTATGTTCGTACATGTATAAGTCCAGAATACCCAACTCTAATCATATTTGACATATTATCTCATGTAGTTTCTTTAAGGATGACTCAAATGCGTCTTACAAAATAAAATCTGAACGATTCTTTAATCGGTAATTTGTAAACACCAATGTTTGAATATGAATATGAGCTAATGTTTATTTGTCTGGGTATCCTCGTCTAAATGAATATGCATTACATATTTTGTATACTCAAAGAACCTCCTCGGACTGGACAAGGTACATAACATTGACAATATCTGTGTGTACCTGGTATTGTTTTTATATTAAATAATGATTCAGAATTGCATCTCTCAAAGCGGATTCGGCTCTTGCAAATTGACATTCCTGGCATAATTCAAGCCTTCCAAATATCATTTTGTTTGTCTGGACAAGTTATGTTACATATATCAAAAGAAAATTGAATGATTAAACTGGGCCAAATTCTCAGTTTCATACACCAAAATGAGTGAATGAGTTTGGTTTTACGCTGCTTTTAGCAATATTTCAGCAATATCACGGCGGGGGACACCAGAAATGGGCTTCAGACATTTTACCCATTTGGAGATTCGAACCCGTGTCTTCGGCTTGACCAACAACCGCTTTAACCACAAAGCTTCCCCTCCGCCCCGTTTCAAACGAGATACTTATCACAACGCATGACACTTACAGGAAGTAGACACCTAGACATTCCCATTGTACTTGGACAGGCTCCGCGAATCCCAGGTTTCTATGTTTACCCGCTTATGGAGTAGGTTACTAAGTCACAAATTGGGGCGGTCGGGTAGCCTACTGGGTAAAGCGTTCGCTCGTCATGCCGAAGACCCGGGTTCGATTCCCTACATGGGTACAATGCGTAAAGCCCATTTCTGGTGTCCCCCGCCGTGATATTGCTGGAATATTGCTAAAAGCGGCGTAAAACCATACTCACTCACTCACTCACTCACTCACTCACTCACTCACTCACTCACTCACTCACTCACTCACTCACTCACTCACTCAGAAATATCAGAATCTCTATTGTTAAATACTTTTACTGGCAATGCAATATTTACCCTAGTCGCTTGGATATTAATTAATTAGCCGTAACTGTTCTTGTTTATTATATTAATTGTAATAAAAAGTAACTAAAAATAAACTACTAAGTATAAATAATGATTATAAACATTATACATCAAAACAAATTATTGCGAAATGTTTATGTCCTTTGATCTATTATTCATTTAAACGGCTGTCAGCTACCTGGTTTGACCTCATAAATGGTTTGTTGTGTTCAAGTGAGAGTGAGTGAATGAGTGAGTCTTGTTTAACGCCGCTTTTAACAGTATTCCAGTCATATCACGGCGTGTCAGCTTAATGTGGGAGGGAAGCCCGAAGTGATGCAGGTCTCAGACGTTTACCACTTCGGTGAAACCCAGAAGCACGGTTTTGGTGCCGACAAACCTAGAAACATAATAGGGGCGAACCGGGATTCGAACCCACAATCATAGGTTTCTGGCGTGCCTAAGGGACGCAACTCTGCACAGCGAATCGCGGCGCCTTTGACGACTGGGCCACCCGTGCCCCCGTTCAAGTTAGAAGTTGGATCAATCTGTTGAACAATATTTGCCATGTCGCTATTATTATTACTGATTTTCACTTATTAATATGTTGTCTGCAGCTACTTTCATCTTTGAGTAGACTTTGGATTTAAACACATGGTCTCCTTTCTGCCTTGATTAACAATGGGCGAGAAGATTTTAACGGCACTTCTGGAACGAGAATATGGTTGTGAAGGGGTACAATGCATTATCAATATAGAATGGGTATGAAGCATGTGATGTTTCTTGCTTGAGTCCATCACTAACGTGATAACGGTGATAGAAACTACACCGTAACGTCGCTCCTAATTGTAATAAAGAAGTTGTTCATCCATATAGCTTATCCTTACCTTGTACTCCAACTTCTAAATGCCTCTCCAAGAAGAGCTATAAGAATCTGATAATCGACCTGTGAAGACCCGGGGTAGAATAGGTCTTCAGGAACCCATGCTTGCCGTAAAAGGCGACTATGCTTGTCGTAAGAGGCGACTAACGGGATCGAGTGGTCAGGCTCGCTGACTTAGTTGATGCATGTCATCTATCCGAAATGCGTGGATCGATGGTCATGATGTCAATCATTGGATAGTCTGGTCCAGACTCGATTATTAACAGACCGCCGCCATATGGCTGGAATATTGCTGAGTGCAGCGTTAAACAACAAAAAACAAAAACAAAAAAACTCTGATAATCAAGGATGGCTATAGCTATTCGACGGTTCCAGCGTAACCACTCATAGTACTACAGCTTCAGATAAGGTTTTGATCTAGACACCTCTTCTCAATGTATCCGCTGCTCTGCATATTTATTGCAACAGAAATACATATTTTGAGATTACAGTTTCTTTCCCTTTCTTTTCAATATTTATAATATATTGGACTACTGGGCATTAAAAAATAAATAAAAATAACTGCAAAATAATCTTATATCTAAGTACCAAACCCTTTGTAATTATGTAATTTATCATAAGCTGTAATGGGTATCCCTTTTATCTATAAACATTTGCTCATATCAGGAAATACACTCCCGTTTCCATCAAACGTAATGTCATCACCGCGACTTAACAGTGATTCGTGGGGCGGTCGGGTAGCCTAGATGTTAAAGCATTTGCTCGTCACGCCGAAGACCCGGGTTCGATTCCCGACATGGGTATAATGTGTGAAGCCCATTTCTTGTGTCCCCCGCCTTGATATTAGGGGAATATTGCTAAAAGCGGCGATAAAACCACACTCACTCACTCACTAACAGTGATTCGTGTCTTAAGGTTCATGAATGTGTCCCTTACATATTGTATCCATTGACAGTGTACCCTTACAATGAAAAAACGGCACCAAGCAAAGGCCATGAGTCTTTTATCCATTCCTATCTTTAGGAAAATAACTATTATTACGAATAAAGCGTTGAGGAAACCTAGTTGTAAAGTGTTCGCCATTTCATGTCCTGCCCCACCGGTGACAACAGCCACAAACACATGCAAAGGCAAGTCATATGTGCACCTGAAAAAACAAACGTGAAGATATGGTACATGTCCTTCACCTGTCTACCATAAAACCTTTTGAAGGCTTTACTGAGGCCTTGAAGGTTGTAACCCTGATCAAAGAACTTCTAAGCAAGAGTTGTATGTGCTGTATAAAATCTTCGTAGGCAAAACACGAAACCTTATTCTCACGATATGCAGAGAAAAGTTATGTCAGCGGCTGTCACTTCATGAATGAGAAGCAGTTTGCATGCTGCTCCGATAGCATGAGACTGGTGGTATTTCAACACAAAATCGGCTTAGCTGTGAAATGACAATAAATAAAGCGACAAAACCCTTTCCATGTCCAATAGAAATCTCTTCTTAAAGCAGAGTCGATTGTACAATTCCGACTATATCATGCGCATGTGAATAGTGATGATTCCAGGTGTTCGCGAAAAGGTGAGCGTACCCTGCCCCACCGAGGCACCTGTCACAAACACATGCAAAGGCAAGTCACCAAGTTGTTCACCAAAAGACGTGGGAACATATTGTACAAGTCTAAATTTGGAATTGCATCGGGCATCATTTTTGTCACTGATGCGTCAAATTTGGAAATGTCCTCCACATGTCTACCATAAAATTTTATGAAAACTTTCCTGAGGCCTTGAATGTTGTAACCTTGATCAAACAACTTCTGAGCAAGAGGTGTAGGACGTTCTTCGAAATGTTGGTAGAAATAGCATGTTCGATTGTATCTCAAAAATTGCGAAATGTAAACACCAAAGGCTGGAGCTGCCGGAATATTGCTCGACATGAAGGGAAAGTTGGCTATTGGAAAGTTATACTCACTATCACAATCTCAGGACTAGTTCTTCAATAAAAGCAAGTTCAAGTTCCCCAAAGCGACCACAGCACTACGTCAGTCTTCACTCATGAACACTAGGCTTATTTCGCTAACTATTTAATACAACGTGCAGCAATGGAGTAGTGATGTTGCATGAAGTCGCTGAAACCGTGTAACCTCAGAATCCGCCGCATAAACTTCGAATATTGTTATAACGTGACGGCCATTTTTGAAGGCACATTATTCTGTGTTTAACAGATATAATGGGTACATCTTGATTTGAAGACAAAAACAAACGTAAACAATTTGAACAGTTAAGGACGTTGGCATTACGAGGTTCATATAATAATAACAAGGCTATTTGTATAACGCAAACCACTGAGGGACATGCTCCCTGCGCAAAGTCAGCATATGTACATATAAACAACAGAGTGGGACAGTAAGATAGTAAAAATATACACATTCAGTTGTAGCGTTCAAAAAGGTATGTTTTAAGTCCATTCTTAAACACAGTGATGCAAGGTGCACTTTTAAGGCTGAAGGGAAGGGAGTTCCATATCAATGGTATACCAGGCATCTTTGAACTTTTGTACAATACATGGTTCGGTGCACTGACCTCGAGAACGACACTACTTTATTGGTAGGTCAGACTCCTTTTTTACGGATGTTGATTGTGATATACTCGGTCGGTAGGTCGGCGAAAAATAAAATGCATAGTATTGGATTATACAAAAAAAAATGTTAAAGTTTGATTTGGATCGGCAGGTACAAAAACAAAATCTTGGCCTTGATTGGGACCTTACAGACAGTGTAAATCTAAAATATGACAGCCGCATGTTATTGTCATTAATGGTAAAGCGATTTTTAACCGTCGGCGGTAGAAACCTTTGTCATACTGATTACATGTATATTTGTTTCAGAATTTTCGATTTTTAAAGTCGGCGGATCCGTAAACTAAACAGAACATGTAATACCTCATAATATTCTGGGGCGGTCGGGTAGCCTAGGGGTTAAAGTGTTCGCTCGTCACGCCGAAGACCCGGGCTCGATTCCCCACGTCTACAATGTGTGAAGCCCGTTTCTGGTGTCCCCCGCCGTGATATTGCTGGAATATTGCTAAGAGCGGCGTAAAACCATATTCACTCATTCACTCATAATATTCTTCATCACGCATGACTTAGAACTTTTTGTTGTATCGTCAACTGGACGATGAAGTATAGCTAACTTTCTTAATCTCTGCACTTGTACACATGTAACAGACGTAATACAAAATTAAAATATCGTGTTTATTAGTTTCAACGGAGTTCGGTAAATGCACTATCAAGTCACTATATTTTCTGGTTCATCGATCACTTGATTGTCTGGTTTGTTTACAGGTCGCCGTCACATGGCAGGGGAACTGTTGTGCGGTGTTGTGCGGTGTCAGGAAATAAACAATTATTTATTTAAATTGTGTGAGTGGCGGTTGCTACCGGTAGGACAGGACATGCTTACCCTTTTCGCAAAACCTCATCAGTGAGTTTCAGTGGTCCATTCATATAATTTTCACCACCATTTTGTGTTTTATATCCAATAGAATCTGTTTCGACGAATAATCAAGACTAGTTATTCTATTGCATTGACATTTTATATTTCATTATTTTAATAAAGTGGTACAAAAGGTTTTCATTATTCCAAAGCATGTTTATTACATCATTTCTAGAAGGAAAACATTGCCAGTTGTCGTTCATATATCAATAAAAAGGTGACGTTAAATTCACGGTCGGTCATAGTTGGGAAGTTAGTTCATACATCAATAAATAGGTGACATGAAATGAAATGGATAAATCAATATAAGAGAGTCGTGTTTACATCATCTCGCCTCCAAGCAACATCATCGTCATGGGGTCGAACCCTTTTCCACCTCTCTGGTTACGATTGTTCATGAGAGCCATCATGGGCCACATGTTGTCGACGCCGTTCATCATGGCGAAAGGGAGCATCATATTGTTGGACTGCCTTGGGTTCATCATCATGCTGTACATGGCCATCCTGCGACCGTTGTCACCCCCCATCATGAAAGGGAGATAGTTCATGGGGGACTGGGCAGCGTTGTTGGCGTGTTGATTGTTGGTGGCAGCCGTCGGGTGGTTGTTATTGAAGACATTACTGGCATGGGACAAGAGAGCGCCTGGCATCGGGCTCGGATGCTGTGCAGGTGCGAGGGGTATGCCGTTGACGTTGTTGCCGAGTGGAATGCTAGATGCCGTCATTCCGGGGGCGACACTATTCTGAGCTGAAAAGGACATATTTCCAATCATATTTTATTTAGAATACTTCAAAAGAAAACATTGAATACTGTAAAAATTAGTTTGAAACATGCTTGGACATGCATATAATTGATAAAATCTTCGTCTACAGAGTAATAATAATAATTATTTTATTATTTTTCGCTGAGGGGGCAAGGACCCTGAGCTGATGATGACCCTAACCAGCCTGACTGTACCAGAATCACCCAAACTCTCTTTGCTGTATTTATTATTTTAATCTGTACACAATAACAACAATAAGAAGAATTATGCTCCTACTACTACTGCTACTACTACCACTACTACTACTACTACTGCTACTACTACTACTACTACTACTACTACTACTGCTACTACTACTGCTACTACTACTACTACTACTACTACTATTAAAGTACTGCCGATGTGACGTTAAATATTTACTCACTCACTCACTCACTAAACTACTTACCATGAATGGTGACTGCCACGAAGGCGAAAATGACACAAACTACTGCTTTCATAATTCGTCTTTCCTGGAGAATAAAAATGAATATGAATAGAAAGTTATAAACATAACAATAATGACTTGAAATTGTGTACTTTACTACCATTACCGTTACAAAGGTAGGTAACCGTGAAAGGCTTTCCTCCTACAATAAGAGGACGCGATAACTAAAATACTGTTCACATGGACGTAAAACAAATTAACTCAATATATATACAATTTTTACTATTATTTCCTCTGGAGATAGTAGTTCAAACATTTAAAGACGTATATATTTGGTTAGGATTACTTTATTCTGAAGCTTTATATGAAACAAGGGGCGGTCGGGTAGCCTACTGGTTAAAGCATTCGCTCGTCACGCCGAAAACCCGGGTTCGAATCCCGACATGGGTACAATGTGTGAAGCCCATTTCTGGTGTCCCCCGCCGTGATATTGCTGGAATATTGCTAAAAGCGGCGTAAAATCAAACTAACTCACTCACTCACTATGATACAAATAGTTGACGTTTCCTTACCTTGTGCTGCTTCTGAACCAGAGCTGAAGCCAGGGATGATGTGTTGAATGTCCATCACTGGGCATTTTATATCCCCTGGTATTGCAGTGGGTCGTGGTCTCCCGTCAGCAATACATTACCCGTCTACATAATGTGCATGATGTAAGTTGTCAAGTGACCATGTCTGCATGACTTGGTTATCACATAATTCTTGTTGTATGTCGGTATAAACATGTCGCAACGATCATCTTAAACTTACACGAAGTTCATATTGAATAACAGTCTTCTCTTGATTAACACGAGGCCAGTTGACATCAAAGTATTCCTGTAGTTGTGGACATGCTAATGAATTGAAGTGCCATTGTGCCATGTACTCCATGTTCGTATAAGTCCAGAATACCCAACTCTAATCATATTTGACATATTATCTCATTTATTATTATTTCTTTAAGGATGACTCAAATGCGTCTTACAAAATATAATCTCAACGAATTTTTTATCGGTAATTTCTAAACACCAATGTTTGAATATGAATATGAGCTAATGTTTATTTGTCTGAGTTTCCTCGAATATATGAATATGCATTACATATTTTGTATACACAAAAACCTCCTCGGACTGGACAAGGTACATAACATTGACAGTATCTGTGTGTGCCTGGTATTGTTCTTGTCAAGTTAGATAAATATGATGACATATGTCTAAAATTGTTTTTATATTAAATAATGATTCAGAATTGAATCTCTCAATGGGGATTCGGCTCCTGCAAATTGACATTCCCAGCATAATTCAAGCCTTTCAAATATCATTTTGTTTGTCTGGACAAGTTTTGTTACGAAAATCAAAAGAAAATTTAATGATTAAACTTGGCCAATTTCTTAGTTTCATACACCAAAGCGAGTGAATGAGTTTGGTTTTACGCTGCTTTTAGCAATATTTCAGCAATATCACGGCGGGGGACACCAGAAATGGGCTTCAGACATTTTACCCATTTGGAGATTCGAACCCGTGTCTTCGGCTTGACCAACAACCGCTTTAACCACAAAGCTTCCCCTCCGCCCCGTTTCAAACGAGATACTTATTACAACGCATGACACTTACAGGAAGTAGACACCTAGGCGTGGAGCACATTCCCATTGTACTTGGACAGGCTCCGCGAATCCCAGGTTTCTATGTTTACCCGCTTATGGAGTAAGTTACTAAGTCACAAATAGGGGCGGTCGGATAGCCTACTGGGTAAAACGTTCGCTCGTCATGCCGAAGACCCGGGTTCGATTCCCGACATGGGTGCAATGTGTGAAGCCCATTTCTGGTGTCCCCCGCCGTGATATTGCTGGAATATTGTTAAAAGCGGCGTAAAACCATACTCACTCACTCTCTTAGTCACACACATATGTGAGTCACACACATTGGTCCTTTGATCCTGTTAAATTGCTAGTCATGATCAGGAATATCAGAATATCTATTGTTAAATACTTTTACTGGCAATGCAATATTTACCCTAGTCGCTTGGATATTAATTAATTAGCCGTAACTGTTCTTGTTTATTATATCAATTGTAATAAAAAGTAACTAAAAATAAACTACTTCATATAAATAATGATTATAAACATTATACATCAAAACAAATTATTGCGAAATGTTTATGTCCTTTGATCTATTATGCATAAAACGGCTTTAAGTTACCTGGTTTGACCTCATAAATGGTTTGTTGTGTTCAAGTTAGAGTAAGTGATTGAGTGAGTCTGGTTTAACGCCGCTTTTAACAGTATTCCAGTCATATCACGGCGTGTCAGCTTAATGTGGGAGGAAAGCCCGAAGTGATGCAGGTCTCAGACGTTTACCACTTCGGTGAAACCCACGAGCCTGAGTATGGTGCTGACAAACCTAGAAACATAATAGGGGCGAACCGGGATTCGAACCCACAATCATACGTTTCTGGCGTGCCTAAGGGACGCAACTCTGCACAGCGAATCGCAGCGCCTTTGCCGACTGGGCCACCCGTGCCCCCGTTCAAGTTAGAAGTTGGATCAATCTGTGAAACAATATTTGCCATATCGCTATTATTATTACTGATTTTCAGTTATTAATATGTTGTATGCAACTACTTTCATCTTTGAGTAGACTTTGTTGAAGTTGTTCATCCATATAGCTTATCCTTACTTTGTACTCAAACTTCTAAATGCCTCTCCAAGAAGAGCTATGAGAATCTTATAATCGACCCGTGAAGACCAGGGGTAGAATAGGTCTTCAGCAACCCATGCTTGCCGTAAAAGGCGACTATGCTTGTCGTAAGAGGCGACTAACGGGATCGGGTGGTCAGACTCGCTAACTTAGTTGATGCATGTCATCTGTCCGAATTGCGTGGATCGATGCTCATGATGTCAATCACTGGATAGTCTGGTCCAGACTCGATTATTTACAGACCGCCGTCATATGGCTGGAATATTGCTGAGTGCAGCGTTAAACAACAACAAAAAACATAAAAAACTTTGATAATCAAGGATGGCTATAGCTACTCGACGGTTCCAGCGTAACCACTCATAGTACTACAGCTTCAGATAAGCTTACATCTAGACACCTCTTCTCAATGTATCCGCTGCTCTGCTTATTTGTTGCAACAGAAATACATATTTTGAGATTACAGTATCTGTCCCTTTTTCAATATTTATGATATATTTGACTACTTGGCATTTAAAAAAAATATATATATAAATAAGTGCAAAATAATCTAATATCTAAGTACCAAACCCTCTGTAATTTTTGTGACAATTTATCATTAGCAGTAATTGGTATCCCTTTTTTCTTAAAACATTTGCTCATGTCAGGAAATACACTCCCGTTTCCATAAAACGTTGTGTCATCACCGCGACTTAACAGTGATTCGTGGGGCGGTCGGGTAGCCGAGAGGTTAAAGCGCACGCTCGTCACGCCGAAGACCCGGGTTCGATTCCCGACATGGGTACAATACGTGAAGCCCATTTCTGGTTTCCCGGCCTTCATATTGATGGAATATTGCTAAAAGCGGCGATAAAACCACACTCACTCACTCACTCACTGACAGTGATTCGTGACTTAAGGTTCATGAATGTTTCTCTTACATTTTGTATCCTGGACAGTGTACCCTTACTATGAGAGATACGGGGATATCAATAGCACCAAGCTCATGAGTCTTTTATTCATTCTTATCTTTAGGAAAATAACTATTATTACGAAAATAGCGTTGAAGAAACCTAGTGGAAAGTGTTCGCCCTTTCATGTCCTTCCCCACCGGTGACAACAGCCACAAACACATGCAAAGGCAAGTAAAATGTGCACCTGAAGAAAAACCCGTGAACATATGGAAAATGTCCTTCACCTGTCTACCATGAAACCTTTTGAAGGCTTTACTGAGGCCTTGAAGGTTGTAACCCTGATCAAAGAACTTCTGAGCAAGAGTTGTATGTGCTGTATGAAATCTTCGTAGGCAAAACACGAAACCTTATAATTATTCTCACGATATGCTTAGAAAAGTTATGTCAGCGGCTGTCACTTCATGAATGAGAAAACCCGTGAAGATTTCATGGGTAGAATAGGTCTTCAGCAACCCATGCTTGTCATAAAAGGCGACTATGAGTGTCGTAAAAGTCGAGTAACGGGATCGGGTTGAGCAGGCTCGCTGACTTGTTTGATGCATGTCATCTGTCCGAAATGCGTGGATCGATGCTCATGGTGTCAATCACTGGGGTGCACCAGAAATGGGCTTCACACATTGTACCCATGTCGGAAATCGAACCCGGGTCTTTAACCACTAGGCTACCCGGCCGACCCATTTCGTATGAGTATGAAGTCGCTGAAACCGTGTGACACCAGAATCCGCCGCATAAACTTCGAATATTGTTATAACGTGACGGCCATTTTTGAAGGCACGTTATTCTGTGCTTAACAGATATTATGGATACATCTTGATTTGAAGACAAAAACAAACGTAAACAATTTGAACAGTTAAGGACTTTGGCATTACGAGGTTCATATAATAATAATAAGGCTATTTGTATAACGCAAACCACTGAGGGACATGCTCACTGCGCAAAGTCAGCATATATACATATATAGTGAGTGAGTGAGTATGGTTTTACGCCGCCTCTAGAGCAATATTCCAGCAATATCACGGCGGGTGACACCAGAAATGGGCTCCATACATTGTACCCATGTCGGGAATCGAACCCGGGTCTTAGGCGTGACGAGCGAACGCTTTAACCACTAGGCTACCCGACCGCCCCTTGTACACATATACAACAGAGTGGGGACAGTAAGATAGTAAAAATATACACATTCAGTTGTAGCGTTCAAAAAGGTATGTTTGAAGTCCAGACTTAAACACACTGATGCCAGGTGCACTTTTACGGCTGAAGGGAAGGGAGTTCCATATCAATGGTATATCAGGCATCTTTGAACTTTGGTACAATACATGGTTCGGTGCACTTACCTCGAGAACAACACTACTTTATTGGTAGGTCAGACTCCTTTTTTACGGATGTTGATTGTGAAATACTTGGTCGGCAAAAAATGAACAAATAAAATGCATAGTATTGGATTTTTAAAAAAAAATCATGTTGAAGTTTGATTTGGATCGGTAGCTACAAAAACAAAATCTTGGCCTGGTTTGGGACCTTACAGACTTATAAATCTAAAATATGACAGCCGCATTTAATTGTCATTAATGGCAAAGCAATTTTAACCGTCGGCGGTAGAAACCTTAATCATACTGATTACATGTATATTTGTTTCAGAATTTTCGATGTTTAAAGTCGGCGGATCCATGAACTAAACAGAACATGTAATACCTCATAATATTCCGGGGCAGTCGGGTAGCCTAGTGGTTAAAGCGTTCGCTCGTCACGCCGAAGACCCCCGTTCGATTCCCAACATGTCTACAATATGTGAAGCCCGTTTCTGGTGTCCCCCGCCGTGATAATATTGCTGGAATATTGCTAAGAGCGGCGTAAAACCATACTCATTCACTCACTCATAATATTCTTTATCAGGCATGACTTAGAACTTTTTATTGTATCGTCAACTGGACGATGAAGTAAAGCTAACTTTCTTAATCTCTGCACTTGTACACATGCAACAGACGTAATGCAAAATTAAAATATCGTGTTTATTAGTTTCAACGGAGTTCGGTAAATGCACTATCGTGTCACTAGATTTTCTGGTTCATCGATCACTTGATTGTCTGGTTTGTTAACAGGTCGCCGTCACATCGCAGGGGAACTGTTGTGCGGTGTTGTGCGGTGTTGTGCGGTGTCAGGAAATAAACAATTATTTATTTAAATTGTGTGAGTGGCGGTTGCTACCGGTAGGACAGGACATGCTTACCCTTTTCGCAAAACCTCA